GTGAAGTGTAGCGGCAGGTAGTGTAGTGTAATGTAGTGTAGTGTAGTGGAGTCTAGTGTAGTGTAATGTAGTGTAGTGTAAGGTAGTGTAGTGTAGTGGAGTGTAGTTGTGTAGTTTTAGTTGTAGTGTTGTGGAGTGTAGTGTAGTGTAAGGTTGTGTAGTGTAGTTTAATGTTGTGTAGTGGAGTGTAGTGGAGTGTAGTTGGGTAGGTGTAGTTGTATTTGTAGTGTAGTGGAGTGTAGTGTAGTGTAATGTAGTGAAGTGTAGTGTAGAGAGTGTAGTGCAGTGTAATTTAGTGTAGTGGACTGTAGTGGACTGTAGTGGACTGTAGTTGTGTAGTTGTAGTTGTAACCTGTAGTGTTGTGAAGTGTAGTGTAATGTAATGTAGTGTAATGTAGTGTAGTGCAGCAAAGTGTAGTGTCATGTAGTGTAATCGAGTTAAGCGAAGCAACATCTGAACCGCTAAAAGTGGTCCGAAACCCTAGTGTTTTTAACATGTTAACTTCCAAATCTGCTTCGCGCCACAACGGCGTGCACTTTTTCGAAACTCGACATCTCAGCCTCCAAAAGTGGTCCGAACATGCTGTGGTTTGTACATTTTGACTTCGAAATGTGCTTCGCGCCACAGCGGCGTGCACTTTTTCGAAACTCGACCTCTGAGCCTCCAAAAGTGGTTCGAACCCCTGGTGTTTTGCACATTTTGACTTCGAAATGTGCTTCGTGCCACAACGGCGTGCACTTTTTCGAAACTCGACCTCTGAGCCTCCAAAAGTGGTCCGAACCCCTAGTGTTTTTAACATTTTGACTTGGAAATGTGCTTCGCGCCACAACAGCGTGCACTTTTTCGACATCTTAAGTGCCAAAAGTGGTCCGCACTTGGTGTGTTTTCTACATTTTGACTTGGACATGTGCTTCGCGCCACAACGGTGTGCACTTTTTCGACATCGCAACTTCCAAAAGTGGTCAGACCCTGGGGTGTTTTGTACATTTTGACTTGGGGATGTGCTTCGCGCCACAACGGCGTGCACTTTTTCGACATCTGAAGCGCCAAAAGTGGTCCGATCCTCTGGTGTTTTGTGCATTTTGACTTGGAAATGTGCTTCGCGCCACAACGGCGTGCAATTTTTCATGTCTCATCTCCCCATATGTCTCCGCACCCGGCGCTTTAGCGAGCCTACTTTTCGACCCTCCGGAACCACAAATCATTGGAAAAACACAGTGAATCGCGACTTTCCTACCTTTTCGCGCATCTGCATCTTCTTTCTTCTGACTCTTTCTCTTCTGAACTTTCTCTTTTCTCTGCCTCTGCCCTGCTCTGCTTTTCATCTGTCCATATTGTCGGAAGTTTAGCTTCTCAACTTCCTTCGACAATATAGTTAAAGATATGTATCTATATAAATATATATATACACATAATAATTCCATGATATATATCCATATATACTAAATAATCTCAATATACATATAGATTCGTATATATATATATGCATATGCATACTCTACCCAGCAATTGTGGGATATTGCGCTTTGGCTAGTGGTTGCCGAAGCATAATCGCTGCCCCTTGCGCAGCATATCTAGATCATTTGGTGGATTTTCCGCAAGGGTTCCTCGAAGATATTCTCTTCAACCAAAAGACTTCGCTAATGACATTTCAATATGTTTCATATATATGTATATTCGTATATATATAGTTATCATGTATAATAACTAGAACACCTATAATGACTAGAATTACTATAATAACTAGAACATAATTATCACAACTATATTGAACCCCCTCCTTCGATTCCCCCAAGGTCCGCCTCTAAAGCCGCGTTTGCAAGAAGTCACCCCGCGGGCCCACTTTTTGCACCAAGATTCCAGCACCAGGATAGCCCTAAGTCAGTTGCTTTGGGTACATGCTGGGGTCAAAACACCACGTTTGTGAATCCCACACTGTTCTACACATGTACACACCAGAATCACCCCCATCCGCGTTGCAACAATGTGCTGCCCCCAGTTACACGTTGCCTCGCAAACCCCATAACCTGATATTTATACATATATCTAACTATATGTATGTATTTATATATATATGTCTGTGTGTCTGTGTGTGTGTCGTGTCCCCCCTCCCTGAAACCTACCTTTTTGGTACCCGCCCTCGAGTCCAAGCCCAGAAGACTTTTTTCGATATCCGCCCCAACTCCACCCACGTCCGTCCGCAGCGGATATGCCTCGTTCCCTTGCTCTCTTCTCCTGTTCCAACCCACGCCTACCTTTCGATCTTTCACCCTTCCCTCTCAAGTCTCAGGAGAAACTAAGGGGAATACTTAACATGACTATACATGACTAATATGACTATAGGATACTATAGGAACTAAGGAGATGGACAAAAGTCAAAGGAATCAAACCTTACAGACATCCACCAGGTACAACCCCACACCCCGAATTCAATCTTAAACAATCTTCTTCTGCGTTCAGGGGTTGATTTTTTTGTCCACACAGCAGGGGTTTGATTTCATCGTCCATCTACGGTAGTTGGACTATGTTAGATCTATACCTACAAACTCCTCTAGGCAGAAAAAACTGCCTAACCTGCCTGTAGGCGTTTATTTCTGCCGATTCCCAGAATAAATGCCTAGGCCCAAAAAAATGCCGAGGCTGATAAATTTTGTATTGTCTTGTTATGTTGAGTTGTTCAGTGCAGAAACATGTTTTGAACAAAATTCTGCCTTATTCCGCTTTTTCCCGCCTAGATTCCGGGTTTTTCCGCCTAATTTCCGGGTAAAAATGCCTAGGCACAAAATGATGTCGTAGCACAAAAAACATCTTGAGATAAAAATGCCTACATCAAAATAAATCTGCCGAGTTTTGCAAACTTCCGGGTAAAAGTGCCTATGCGGCTGCGGCGCCGAGGGCAGAAAAAAATGCCTAAGGCTTCTTCTATAGGTACCCTCTGGTAAATTAACATAGACCCTGAAAATGATCAGTTTATAGTGGAAACTAGTCTTCCAACCCCTATCTGGCAGGGTCTATGTTAATTTACCGGAGGGTATATCTGATTGCTTTGGGGTATTTCACATGAAGCCAGTGTAGGTGCAGGGGGAATTCGTGGTGCATTTCGAGTGCTATGACTTTCCCATTGACATCCAAAGTCTGACGGTGCTGCTGGAATTTCAGCTGGCGGATGAGGGGATTACACCTGTGGAGTATCTTGGAAGATCGTGGCGATCAAAACCTATGGATTGATGGGGATTATAAAAAGGGTTTTGATATGTTTTGATGCAGATTTGACCATGAAAAATGGTGATATCATGGGCGAATCGTCGCCAAGATCTGTGTCTGTCTTTGCCTTGACAAAGCGTCACGAACAAACTGTCATAAGCTTCCATGTCCAACCGAGGGTAGTTTCTCATTCAGGGACGAAACTACATAGTTTCCCTAGTTACTCGTTGAAGTTGATTCGTAGCAGCGTTTTTCAGAGCCAAACCCGCCCCACTCCACGCATTCGAGGCTTTCCACCAGCCACACGCAAGATGTGGACGTGAACCGCCAAAACTTTGCCTGGGAAAATGAATACGAACTGGGCCTAAGCATGTCGGTGGGCATGGCCAAACGCCATGCTCTGTCCACCCGGACCTATCCTCACGTGATGTGTTCTGCTTGGGTCTTGCGGAATCCGTTGCTCGGTGGTGTCATGTGTTTTTTTAGATCAGATCTCTGGTGATGTATAGAACATAGCGATGGAACATCACCATCATTCAATATAATATAATTCATAGGTAATTCATCCAAGGTTGGCCATTTTCCATAGCTTTGTCAGATGTCCAGAGGGTATAATTGTTCCGATGGGTTTTAGCCAAATTTGTTCCACTTGTCCATTCGTTTTTCAAGATGGGATGATTACTTTGGTCCCAGTCGTGACTGTTGGATCATCATGAATTGTTGGCTTTACTGGGTCATGCTGTATCATGCCAGACTCTCAATGATTGTTGGGATGTAGCCATGATAACTACGACAATGTCACATTTTGGATATCAACACTATCAACTATCGGTACACTCAGTAGTCATCATCCCCAATCTGGGTTTATTTTTGGCAAACCCCTATTTGGGATGATTTAAATATATTTCAATGGACCCCAATGGATGCTGACTGGAAAGGTTTTTTCGGGACCATCCCCAACCTTGGATATAGTTAGTTTTATCAGTTTTTTGGCTGTTGAACATGAACAATCACCAGCAAAAGGCAAAAGGCATTAGCATTTTTTTGTGGACTATAAGGGTCAGATTGACCATGATAAAACCTCCGTCTCCAGTGGAGTTTCCCATCTTTTCCCCATATTTTCCCCATAGTTTTCATAGGTTTTACTTCCTGGTGAATGTGGCCCTGCCCAACATGCTCTTCGCGGCCATGGCGGGTCTGCAATTTTTCGTGGACGTGGACAAAGTGGCGGACAGGCCCCTTGTCGGAAATCCATGGGTGGGCGAGGAGTGCTTCACTACTCTTCACCATGAGGGATTTGGGTGTTGATGGTTCCCTTTCATACTGTGGATGGGCCAGCGAAATCCGATTTTTACCACCAAACGGATGGTTTTTATATAGCCTATAAATAATGGGATATTTACATATATTTACCACCTATCAACTGGTGCAAGATTTCGCAGCCATCCACCGTATTTTCCTCTTGAGTCTGTGTTCTGGTTGGTTTGGAACCATGGAATTTTATGATTTTCCATATATTGGGGACAGTAGTGCCAACTGACTTTCATATTTTTCAGAGGGGTTGAAACCACCAACCAGATTCCTCTTGAGTCTGCGTTGTATGTGGTGTTTGAAGGCCCTGATTTGATCTAATTTGTGTTCCAGTCTTCCCAAGTCGGCAGGGCCAGCATATCATTGACGCTGCTGCTGGTGTGCGCCTCCTACTTCCAGTTCTCCTCGTCACTAGTGCCACGCCTGGGATATCTCACCATTCTGGACAAGCATTCGCTGTGGTGCATCTTTTTGGTCATCGTCATGGTCTTCTGGGTTGGAATCATTAAGATGGTCAGGCACCACACTGTTGCTGAGAGTCAGCTTTTGTATGCTTTTGTTGTGACAATAAAACTGTCAGAGGTGACAACAAACCCACAATCAATCTTGGCTGTTGTTGGCAGGAAACCTTCTGTGTTTTTTTTCCAATCAGATGGTAGTTCAATACTTCACTTTAAGCTCCCTTTTGGCAAACACCATGAACTCTAATTCAAACTCTATCTTTCTGTTTCACATTTTTCAAGGATCCTCCTGTTTTTAATCCAGCTATAATTGAGGCTTTGGTGGATTTTATGGCTGCCAGCTGTTTCGCGGGCATCTGGCTGCTGTCGCACGGCTGGTTTCTGCTCCGTCTCTGGCGCTCGCGAAGGCGCTCGCGCAGCCGGCTGGAACGGCCGGCCGGGAGCCACCAGCCACTGGGCAAAAAGAGCAGGGCCTTGTCTCAGCATATCCACGAATATATATATATATATAGAATTAATATATCTATCTATATATAATATATATATAATTATCTATATAGCTATCTAGCTATCTAACTATCTAGCTATCTAGCTATCTAGCTATCTAGCTATCTAGCTATCTAGCTATCTAGCTATCTAGCTATCTATCTATCTATCTATCTATCTATCTATCTATCTATCTATCTATCTATCTATCTCTATATATATATATACACATATATATAATGATATATATATATATATATACGCATATATGATCACATATATATATATATACATATAATTATATGTATGTATATTTGTATATATATATATGCACAGTAGATAACACACTATACGTCACATAATTCTGGGTGAATTAATTCCCGACCTCACTGGCCGACGTCAGGAAGTGGAATTATCCCAAAATGACCTCTGAAAATTGGTGTAACTATAGCGATTTTAAAGGCTCTGAATTTTCGTGGGAAAAATGATGCTTTTTACCATTGGATGGGGCCCGGGGTTCCCCATGTAACGTGTAGAGAGGGTGTGGGAACTGTTGGGGAACATGAGCGGATGGCACTTGGCCAGGAAATTTGCCATGGTTTGAAGAGGTTGGAGTATGGATAATGTCAGCCCCACTTTCAAAGGTTTACGAATTCTTCTAGAGATTGTCTCTGGCCTGACGCCAATGGCCAATTTCTACTGGAGAATCTTTCAAACATTTTCAAACTTATGGACGTCAGCTTTTCTTCGCATGTTGTTTGTTCAATTTCATTCCTGTCTTCGTACATGTTGCTTGGACAGATCCCTCGCAATTTGATTGCGACGGACCTGGTGTGAGGAGAGCGGTGCGCTGCAGACAGAACTCGGACATTTTCTATCCAGTCTCCCCCAGACCTGATATGGATCTTCCTCACGGTGAACCCAAAGCTTTCGCCGTGAACACGGCTTGGCAATGATCGTTTTAAACACAGCGCCCGGCACCGCTTGGGTGGGGGTTTGGACACGTGGATTCCGGAGATGCTAGAATCTAGAATATCAATGGCCATTTTTCTGGGTATCAACATTTATCAACATTGGGTACAAAAAAGGATGGTTTCCAATTTGACATGGGGAAACATCTGTGGTTTTCTCCATGGTTTTCTCCATGGTTTTCTCGGTCTTAGAAAAATGACCCAAATCCGATGGGTCTAACGACCCAGCAATATCCAGCAATCCAAACTTCGACGAAGCGTTCCGACCGTGGTCGCACTGTTAATGACGAAACACTGAAAGACCATGGTGTTCGATGATGGATGATGGTCTGTGGTGGATCCAAAGAACGGTCTGCCAGTGATAATTCCGCGATCTTTGGCTACCGGGGTGTCCTAGGTCATGGTACCCCAATAGCTGGATGGATGAATGGTTTATTTCCATGGAAACGCCCCATTTTTAAAAGTATGGATGATTGGTACCTGGGGTACCCCCATGACTTAGAAACCTACAGTTGTACTCTATGCCACCAGATGTTTCAAGATGGAGATCCAGAGCCATCAGTGACAGCCCAGATTCACCCAGCCTGGAGTAGTGACCCGACTCCCTGCAGAAAAGGATGCTGCAACGAGTGGTGGTTACGGGTGGTTTCTGGTGGCCTGGGACATCCACTGCCCCAAGTCTTCAGGAAACATCAAAAAATCTCGCCAACATCGGTTTCAATCATGGAACGTCTCTGAAGATCGGATGGTTTATTTCTTCGGATAAAAATTCGTGACTGTCATTCACTTTTACTGCTTGGTGGTGACTGGAACATGGCTTTTATGACTTTCCATATATTGGGAATTTCATCACCCCAACTGACGAGCTCCATCATTTTTCAGAGGGGTAAGCATTACCACCAAGCAGTTCATAGTAACAACGTGGGTGAATTTCCCGTGCGGCCAAAATGGGCTGGACATCTCCAAAATGATGGCCACCTGAGTTGGTGGCCACTGAGGCGCACGGAAAGCACGTCCCCACTTGGGACTCCTGGGGCTTTGGTGATCCCAAGGCCAGGGCGCGTCTCCGTTGGGGGGTCGTCCGCTGTGAATTCATGGCGGCTTTAAATTGATTGAGCCATGAATAGGGTTGAACTATAGCCATCTATAGCTGGTTGGTGGTTTGGAACATGGCTTTTATGTTCCATCATATGTGGGATAATCCTTCCCATTGACGAACTCATATTTTTCAAGATGGTTAAAGCAATGATCATAAACATCCATAAACATCCATAAACCAGGGCTGCCGTGGTTCTGGTACTTTCTGGTAATGCAAGTGCCATGGGCTATTGAAAAAACCTCGAACTAAATGGGCCATAGCTTCCAAAAGTATGCAACAAATTGCCAGAGGATAATGTAGTAAACCCAATGCATATGGGAAATTATATGAACTTTTGGTGTTTTTGAGATACCATGGATGGTCTTTTTTTACTTATATATATATATATACACATATATATTGCAATAAACATCCCCAAAAGAGGTTTATGAAATTGGGTATACGCCTAGCAACGGGATGATGTCATGGCACCCGTTTTGGTTTTGGTCATGGGATGGTTCAAAACACAACGGCTTCACCAGGAATAAAGATGAATGATGGTCGGGGATGGTTTTTTGTTGCATCAATCCTTGGGGGTTTGATGTGAAACTTAAGTCTCCAGTGAAGTCTCACGGATCTCGATATCTTTCTGGTCAAGTCTCCATGCTTTGTTTTGCGATCCACGTCATCATGTTGAAGTTGGTTACACAACCTCGCTTTAAACCCTTAAAACCCAGGGTTCTTGATTCATCAAAAAGTCCCTTTATTGATGATTGTTGGGTTTTTTTTTGGCCTCACCGATTCACAGATGTTGTTGGTCAAATCCAAATAGACTCGGTATAGGTTTTTATTGCATCCCAATTTTGCTTGGCAAAAACTTCAACAAAAAAAGCAGGAAGCACATTTGGAATGGCCCCCACAAAATGGAGGTGAGACAATTCCACTGGTGGTCCACCTTTTGGACGTGTTTGTTCACCTTATGCTTACATCATCCAAGCATCTAATTTTTATTCAACAAATCCAACCTTTGCTGGTTACCGTACATCCCATGGTCTTGCCGTTGAATCCCTACCTTTGATGGTTCAGGTTGACTCACCACTTGTCACGGATGAACTCCCAGTCTTTGGAAGGTTAACTCGAATTTTTTTTGTCCGGGTTTCGGATGATAAACCCAGCACAACTTAGCTAACAACCTCACTGCGACCTCACTGGACCTATGGTTAATAAGGGAAATGATCCCCAAATGGCCGCACTATTCAGGTTAGTGAAATATTATAACTTACCCAGATAAATCACTGGTGGTTGCCAGTTTCTACAATATAATTTGAATATGCTTATAACATATCACTTCATATCAACCCTATTAAAGTTGGTGTAAAACCCCTATTAACATCTATTAACTATAGTTAGAATTTCCATAGACCCTATATTAAAGTTGGAAAACGTTGGTTTATCCATTGTGAAACCTATTTTTTCGCTAAAAAAGCAGTTCTTTACCTTGTTTATCTACTATAACCCCCCTTTATGTTTTAGGTATTTGACCATGCTCGCTCCAGCTCTCAAAGGTTCCCATCCGTCTGGTGCTCCGCTCCCTGGGGGGCCGCTGGATTACTTGGAAAGCCGCGCAAGGACGCGAGGCACGTGGCGTTTTTTGCGGGTTTTCCCAGGAAAATTGCGGGATTGGCCATGAAAATCATGAAAGATGGCGGATTTTCTGTTTGTTGGTTGTTCTTTGTTTTCCACTTGAAACCTAAGGATTTCAATCATGATTAATGGACTTTTTTTTTCTTGGGTTTTTTCCTGTGAAGATGGTGGATTTGGATAGACAAACGTCGGGAGTTGAGCTAAACATGGTGATCTGTTTGCCAATGGAGAGTGAACCAAACCGTTTAACGGGAAATCACCAGAAATCCAGGCGGGTTCAACAGTGTTCAACCATGATGAAAAACATGAGTCAGAATCATTGGGATTGGATGATTGGATCATCAAAGATAGTGGATTTGACCCAACAAACATGTTCATAAATGTTCCGAAGTGAACGAAATTTGGAGTTCACCAGTAAAGAAAAAACGAGAGGCACCAACAAAAATGGAGCTTCAATCAGTTGAACCTGGTGATATCACCCACAGAACGGTGATATCAGAATAACGGTGGTCCAATAAGAATTTGGAGTGCATTGATAAAAACTGGATTCTCAGCCAACACATGGCACATTTCATCAACAAATTTGGGAAATTTCACAGAACATGATAAAACCAACATAGAGATGTGATATATATATATATATATATACGTTATAACATGTTATAACCAGCAGGCAGTTGGAACAATCCTACACCATTTCATCCGGAGACACCGAAGGAGCGCTGGGTCGTTGCCGATGGAAATGATGGACATCTCTTCCACAGCTTCGTTCGGGCCATGAACTTCTATGGCATCCCAATCGCACAAAGCCTGAAACCCCATGGAACTATATGAAAACAAGGTATTTTTTTCTTTTAATCTTTTTTTTAATGCCTGGTGGGATTGGACTGGTCCAGGACTTTTGCTGGTGATATTCAGAATGTTTGTCAATTTTCAAAAATTGCCGGGCCCAGCACCATATCTCACTAAACTTCTCAGATTCTGGACTGGTCAGGTCCGAATGATACCCCCCATATCCCCCGACAAACACAAACATCATATTTCAATGTATTTCATGTATTTCCCACAAGAATACACTTTGGAATGATTTTTCCCCCAAAAAATCTGGCCTTTTCAGGTCAGTAGCTGAGGTATTGATGCTCAAGATCCGGAAAACAGCTTTCCGAATTTGAGGCAAAGCAGGGCACGAGGGCACCGGGGACGACTGGGATCTCCCATACTTTAAGAAACCTCCATGTGTTGTATTGAGATGCACTTTCTGCATTTTTTGAACATGTTATACATGTTTGATGGGAAGAAAAAAAACGTATCAATGATCGACCAGCTATTTTTTTTTTTCGGGGCGTTTTGAACGCATCCCTCCCCAAACCCCGAACTGGCTGACGTAGCATACATACCATGCGATGTCCGCACGGTCCGGACCCGGTCCGGACCCGGTCCGGGGTCCGGACCGTGCGAGGTTGCTCTACGCCCATGCACGTTCTGCGCTGGCGTTCTTTCCGAAGCACTCCCTCAGAAGTCCCTCGGTACAGTGGTCAGATTTGCGGCCAAAAAAATCTGAAATCTGCGGTGGAGACAAGGGAACCCTCCCAGTTTGAAGGGGAACGCCAGTGTTGATCCCCCAAAAACGGCTGAAAGTGTCAGGGACCAAACTTGTGCTTTGAAGCTTTCTGTCGACATTTTGAACTCAACAAGATCCGCTTTTATAGACATAGTCTCTAGTCGATTTTTAAAACTTGTTGCGTGCACCCCCAACAGTGTTAAATCTCCTGAATCCCAACCAGTAATCTCCAAAGTTGTTTCATATTCAAAAATCATTGCTTTTACATGCTTTTACAGTCCAGTCACCAGTCGTTTTTCATAATTTGTCATGGCTTTCTGGTGGTTTACCACTTGGAGTTTAGACTTTATCTCATGGCTTTCAACCAAAATAAACAGTTCAGCCATCTGAACTTCTGGCGAGATTCTGATATCATGGGTGTGTCAGATCCCAATAGTGGCTGGTTGGTGGTTTCAAACATGAATGTTATTTTCCATTTCATATATGGGATGTCATCCTTCCCATTGACTTTCACTCCATCATTTTTCAAGATGGTTATTGCACCACCAACCAGATCATCATTAACCATCATGAACCATATAATAACCATATAATAACCATATATTAGCCATTATTAACAGTATATAAATATATATATATATATATATTAACCACATTAATTAACCATGTTAAAACCACCAACCAGGTGGACTTTATAACTTGACAAAATCCCGGTGATGTCTCCATGAATTCCCATCAAGATTCCGTCAATCATTATCCCC